TTCTACAACTTAGAGATTTCAGTCATTAACATTTTTACTTCCAGTCTGCTTTTTACTTCCTGCCAATGTACACTTGTGCACATGTGCACGCGCACACACAAAGATGTTAGTATTTTGTTGTGGCAGGCTCTGTGTGAAATATTTTACACATACTCTTATTGTTCAGGTAGTCCTCTGAAGTAAGTACTATTACCATATCTCCTGTTTACAGATGACACATATGTAAAGGGTCAGTAACTTGTTCAGTTTCATATAGTTGATAAGTGATTGAGCTGGAATTTTTACCCTCATTTAGCCCAGGCTCTTCACCACTCCTTTCCAGAAATCTATTTTCATCCATGACTTGCTCTCCAAATTGTTCTCTCCAAGGCTGTCGGTAATTGTTTTTAATTTTTGCCTTCTCCAGCCTTGTTTTAAGACCTCTTCTTTGTGCTTTAGCCACACTTGCAGTTTCGTGAAAGCACTATGCTCCTTTGGCCTGTACACATCCCATCTGTTCCCTCTGCTTGGAATGCTCACCGTACCTGTCTCACCCAGGTAATTGCATTTACCCTGCAAGTCTTCCTTGAGGTCACTTCCTGGACCTTTCTCACCCCAAAGACTAGATTGGCCCCTGCTATCATTTGCTCCCATGGTACGTTGTCTTTCTCTTTTGCAGAACTTTTCACAGTTAAAGTTATTTGTTCATTAGAACTTGGTCTGCCATTTTCACTATGCACTTTTGTTCCCTTCATATCTCTGGGCTTGTGTTGTATTCCAGGTGCACGGTAGATGTCCAGTAACTATTTGCTATCTTACCTTTTTCTTTCTGTACTTAGCTTATTTACTTTCAGCTTCATACTTGTAAATTCGCATCCTCTGTTCAAAAAATGAATTCCTCTTTCTTCCAATCTGAAATTGCTCATTTCTTAGTGCACTTCAGTCCCCTAATCTAGTCAAAAGAGTTTGGCACCATTCTTGACTCCTCAGTTTTTTCTGTTTAAATATCTCTGAGATTTCTGGGAGGATATACACTGAACAGGATGATTAAGGGAGCCAACTGGTGGGCTTTAGTTTTCTCTCTTTTGTCTGAACTTTTCATTGACTACATGGTACTAAAAAAAAATCCTATTTTGAAAAACAAAAAATAACCGAAACTAAAAGCTAAAATGCCTTTTAGAGATACCCTTTTCTCTCTAATTCTGCTGCCTCAGTTTTAGCTTAACTTCTTTGTGCAACAGATTTCTATTTCTTTTTTTTGTCTCTTTCAGATCTCTCTCCCCTTCCTCCTACTTCATCTGCTTGGTGAATCTTCTCAGAGTCTTGCTTTCATTGTCTCCTTTCAGAGCTCAGCACTTAAAGTGGCTCCCTATTGCACTGATTCTTTTTTTCTGCCTGACTCACAAGGCCATCTGCAATTTGTCCTTTTACTTTTTCAGTGCTGCTCCTCATGACTTTCTAACGTAATCCCTGAACCATTCTGTTCTTGTCCCCTGTAGATGCCGTGTATTTTCTCTGTGGCAGATATTTATTTACAAGTCCCATCTGCAGAAAACACCCTCAAACTCACACAACTGTCTCCTTTCTAAAGCACTTAGTTTTATCCAAGAGAAATTACACAGGATTTTGACGGCCAAAATATATATTGTTTTCATTGGCGCATGTAAAGAATACTGATTATCTGTGTAAATAGACAGCATGCTTGTTTTAGGTATACATTTTTCAGTGTGTCAGACACTCTTTTCTAATGTTTTCAGAAAATTTGGAAATAACTGGCAGTTGAAAGTAAATGCCTATGGTATGCATTGGTATTCTGACAAACAGCAATATGTGAATTACCTTCTTTGTGTCCACCAGGATGAAAGAATGAAAACTTTTTTGGGTGAGGAGGAGAGAGGTAATTAGGTTTGTTTGTTTGTTTGTTTATTTGAATGGAAGTACTAGTGATTGAACCCAGGACCTTGTGCATGAATCCTCGTCTTTTTTTTTTTTTTTTTTCCTTTTTCTTTTGGCTTTGAATTTCTCTCTTTAGCTTTTGTCTCACTGCACCTGTGCTTCTCCTTCATTCCTGTCCCTGAGAAAAAAAATTTCAGAAGGCTAAGTTGACAGCCTCTTCTCCTGCTGCCTTATTTAATTTGACTTTTGCTGTGAGAATCTGTTTCTATCTTGGACTTAAATATATGATGAATTATTTACAACCAAGGCCCTTGCTTTCCTGTCATTATCATGAAAGATTTAGTGGCTCATCTTATCTCATTTTAGAGGATTCAGAGAGTTGATACTACATTTTAATTTTTGTTAAGAGAAATGATGTGCATCTCCCATCTCACTTAGTTTTTTTCCTACTTGAGGGACATGACTTACAAAGGTAAGAATGAATAGACCCTATAGTTTTGGTCAAAAGAGAATATTTAGGTACATTTGAACAGTAATAACCAGGGCATTCATACTAATGCATACTATATAGCCATTTAAAAGAATGAGTGCAATCTAGAGATTGTTGTAGAAGTCTATCTATAATATATAGTTGAGTGAAAAAGCAGATTGTATGGGAGTAAGAATAAAATGAGCTAGTTTTTGTTGAAGCCACCCTCCAGAAAACCACCAAGTTGTGGTGTGTGTCTATTTGCACGTGCATGGAGAAGGGTCTTCAAGGAAATAATATATTTAGTTTGCTTATGATATTTATTTATTTAATGATAGATATACAACAAATAGTTTACTTTATAATATTTACTATTTTAGTACATTAATAAACTTACTATTTATTATATTTATAGTGGTTTCCATTGAGGAAATGGATTGTAGATGATGAGAAAAGGGATTTTCAGTTTTTACTTAATAGAGTTCTATATTTGAATTTTAAATAATGAACATGTGATTCTTTTTAACGTAAATTATAAAAGCATTTTTTAATATATGATGTCAAGGTATATAGTTAATTCTTTCTGTAAAATATTTCCTTAACTCGAACATCTTTAAGAAAAAAAGGAAAAAAGAAAAGTACTAGGAATTTAGAGAATTTACTCCATATTAGAAGCAAACAGAGCCTTTCACCAATATGCGGGAGACAGTAGCACAAAACCAGCACAGTAGTGGATGCACTTGGGTGATTCTCTGCACATGCTTTTGCTTCCCTTGGGTTGTTTGGTCCGCAGTTTGCATTCATTGATCAGTGAGTTGATTCAGACTCAAACCCACCGACAGCAATGAATGTTGAGTGCAGCCATCAGTGTTCTCATTTGATGGAGTTTCCTTGGCCTGTCCTGACTCCTGGCTCTTTCTTTTCCACAGTTTTTTTGAGGTCTGTGTCTGGCATCTCTTTTAGTAGCCAACCATTGAGTATCGACATAATTATAGATAACATTGACATTAGAGCTGGGAAGTTCTTCAAGATGGAGAAACTATGCTTCAGAGAAGGGAAGGAGTTCCAGGAAAAGCTAATGAGTAGCTCTGTGACCACAGGGGCAGTGCTTGCATACCAGTAGGTCTAAACAGCCTGGTTCTTCCTCTCTGTTTTGAACTGAGAATTATGAATGCTTTTAAGGTAAATTAGCACAGATTATGTTTTGGATTAAGTAATGATAATAGCTTACATATATTAGCATTTGTTGTGTGCTAGGAATGGGTACAAAGTACTTTATATATTATCTCATTGAATCTCAAAACTCTACGAGGTAGCAATACTTATTATCCCCCATTTTAAACATAAGGAAACTGAGACTCAGACACTTGCCCTGGGTCACACAGCTAGTTAGAGAGTTGAGCCAAGATTCATCCCAGATCCTTCTGACTCCAAACCTGACTTTTTACTTGAATTTAACATTTAATTAAGCATCTATGTGGACGGAAATGGTGAGGCAATAGCTGCTTTCAGACAACACATATTGTAGTGGGGCTGTCAAAACTTAACCACATTAACTATAATTAGAAATGGAATATGTTAAGAACATTGCAGACATTGGACAGTTCTGTGCTATTTTTGCTTATTAAATCCTCCCCTTGTCCCTAATTAAAGGTTTGAGGGGACATGGGAGAAGTGGGTGTAAAATACTTAATTGGATTTCACTCCAAAATGAAATACATGTTTTTAATAAATCTCTTCTTGTTACATCCGTTTCACACCAGAATGGCGTATTTCTAGGAGATATTTAGATACATTAGGTATTATCACGGAGTACTCCTTATCTTGTTGAGACAAAACATTTGTTTTTCAGAAACACAATAAAAAGCAAGGAACAATGGGCAGTAGAAATAGAGGGGAGCTTTTAAAAAAAATAAACTGGACCCCCTTTGGGGGACAGGCAGCGAGACTGGTTCTGGTGATCTCATGCGACATATGAAGGTACAGCCTGCCCCTTTGCTTCAGGAAATAATGTTGTCTGTAAGGACCCTAAGGTACAGTCAACGGTCGGTGGTTTTTTCAAATCCCAAACTCACCGACAGCGTTGAATGTTCCTTGGAGTCCTCTGAAGACTGAGTCCTGGCCCTGGCAGCCCTTCTTCAGCCTGCTCCCATGTTCCAGGAGCCATTGGGCAGTGAGAGCACTGCTGATGGAGCCTCTCACATTCTTTAACAGGTTTCAAGTTGAGAGTATTTAAATTAAGAAATCGATTTGTGTATAGCACAGAGCTAATGAACCTCAGGATTGTGAGGTTGCAGTTTATACAAGCAGACTCGAATGAATGTCTGAGAAAAGAACTTTGAATAATATTTTGTAATTATGAAAATGTCAAATATCCTATTTTATAACAGTATTTTAATTATTAAAGGGCAAGGATAAGAAAGAAATTAACATATACTGAGGACTTACTCTGTACTGGGATTTGTATATTTTTATTTCCTTAAATTCTCAACACACTTTTATCTCATGAGAAAACTGAGTCAGAGAAATAAAGTGATTTGCCCAAAGTTACATAACCAGGAGCCAAAGTTACAAGCCAGAACTTGAATGTTGGACTACATGATTGCAAAAAATCACTGATCATGCTGCCTCTTCCCTTGACCACCACAAAACTTACTGTTGTATATCTGGAGGCAGGACCTTCAGTGAGATCTAAGTCAAACAAGTAAACATCCTCTTCTTGTTTGCCTGTAATAATAGTAGGAAGCTGAAAAAAAAAAAGTGACCTTTATAATTGGTGATCTCCCTAGCTGAGATCTTGGATCACTAAGTTACCACAGAGGTTCAGTGGTAGTCTACAAGATATTTTCCATATGAAAAAGAAAAAAAAAACCCCAAAACCCCTACCATCTAATAGAAAGCCTGCATTACGTACTAAGCCTGTCCTTAGATCATGGAGAGTAAGTATAATGTCAGATGTCTTTGCTTTTGGCAGAAATGATGCCAGTGCATTGTCAACATACTGATTATTTTTATTGACTGTTGAATGTCCTTGATGAAAAATCTGGGAAATAAATTAATTCCATGGAACTTTTCAGAATATAGGGTTTATAATGGGAGGAATCCAGAAGTACTCTGCAGAAAAAGGGCTTACAAAACTGCTGGCTGAATTGAGGTTAATCTTTAATTAGGGATAGTTACTACTATTTGCTTTACATTTAAATATTAAAGGTTGATTGTTCTCAAATTCATTTTTAAAGCAGCTGAATGGTACACACATTAAGAAAAAAAAATCAAACCATTGGGAATTTGGTTTGGATGTAAATTGTTTACATTTTATATCAGTTTAATTATTTCACCCTCTGTCAGAACACTCCAGTTAGCCAACTTTATTGAGTCCTCAGTGTTATGACAGTAAATGGTATACAAATGACAACAAAAAAATCAAGCAACTGTTACTGTTTAGTATTTTTAAAACTCTTTAATGGACTTATTTTAAATGGCCTTCCCCGAAGTAGTTAATGCCTTATTCCATTTGGATAAATAATCAGGCTTTAAGAAAATACTGACCTCTGCTACCTCAAACCATTAGATGTTTACAAAATAGCATTGCTTGAATTCATGGTATTTTAAGGTTTTTCCTATGAAAAAACTAGAAGAGAGTGAAAGGCAGGTTTTTAAAATGACACAGGGGTGTTTCTCATTGTGTTTGAGAAAATTAATTTTCATGGCAGTAAAAGTCATTATCTTCATCCTTTCAATTTGCTTTAAATCTTTAAGCTTAGTTTTTATAATCAAGCAAGTTTAAGGCACATATTGGGTCTTTCAAATGAGTTTGGGAATTTGACTAATAAGCTTATGCAGTGCAAGGATATAATCTATGAGTTAAAAAAGTGTTAAGGGTTAAATTAGCCAAGAGTTACAGAAGCTACACATTTAATAAATTGGTCTGCTGTTTAATTCTTGATCTAGACTGGTTTTGAGGGGTTTTTTTGGTGGGAGGTGGGGTTGGGTAGTTAGGTTTATTTTACTTATTTTTAACAGAGGTACTGGAGATTGAACCCACGACCTCGAGCATGCTAAGCACGCACTCTACCATACCCTCCCCTAGACTGGTTTTGAGTTTGTCAGAACTCACCATGCCATCCTTTACTGTTTCACTTACCTCCTTTTCTTTCCTTTTCCAGAGGTACTACGAAATATTTTGGAACCCACATTGCTTTAACTTGGAGATGTAAATGTTGTCACAGTCCTCTTGAGGCCTCTTGATATACTTGAAAGAAACAAAAAGCATAAACTTAATAAAACAATATATATTTGAGAGATTAGTAGCACAGAAGAGGAATCACTGTCTCCGGTAGCTGTACACCCTTTCATTTCCCAAGCACTATGCAGGGAGCATCTCTAGAAGTATTTGGAGATAATGTTGCTATTCTTGAGGACAAATTCTTGTTATGAAGATGACAACAGAATGTCAGCATGAATTCATGTTCCTCTTAGCCAGACTGCCAGTGTCCTGCTTCATCCTTTTACTAACTCACCAGCAGAATCTTTTCAAGGAATCCTTTGTTTTATACAGCCCTTGCCATCATGGAGGCCAGTGTCTACCCAGGGAACTAACATAGACACAGATAATAACAAAGAGGATGATTGCTATGCTGGTGGAATGGTATGAACCAGATTAAGGGAGAACAGAGAAAAGAAGGGTTAATCCTGCCTAGAAATGCCAGAAGTGTATCTAAGTGATCACAACTGATCTGGGCCTTGAAGGTTTAGTTGAATATTTACTAGACAGAGAAGGAAAGATACTCCAATAGAGGGAACACTGCACAGGAAATCCTAGAGGCAGGAAAGTTCAAGTAATGGTGAGTAGTATTGAGATTAACCCCCTAGAGCGTCAGTTAACTCATCTGTAAGATGCAGGACAGACAGCACTCACTTGTCCTGTGCACACAGCTGTGAAAATCAAATGAGGTTATATATGTGAAAGTAGCATGCAGATGTAATTGTTAGATCTCTCTTCTCATTGTTCTTGGTTCATATGTGCTGAAATAGAATAAATGAAGTACCTCATCATGATAGACTTTTCCAGTTGGGTTCTTACTTGATTTTCTCTTTTTTTTCCTTTAAAGTGACCATAGTTTAAATTTTATATAAATTAAATGTTTAAAATAATTTTTATTGACGTGTGGTTGATTTACAATGTTAGTTTCAGTGTAAGCAAAGTGATTGAGTTATACATATACATACATATATTTTTTTCTTTTCAGATTCTTTTTCATTATATGTTATTGCAAGAAATGGAATATCATATCCTGTGCTATAAGTAGATCCTTGTTATTTATCTACTTTACATGTAGTAATGTGTGCCTGTTAATTGGGGAAGCAATATTATAGCATAGTAAAGAGCACAGACTTTGGAGCCAGAATCTTGACTATGCAAGTTACTATATATATGACCTTGGGCAAATTACTTAACCTTTTTCTTCCTCTGTTTCCTTATGTATAAAGTGGAAATAATGATAGTATCTACCTCATAGGACTAAATGAGGTAAGATATGTTAAGTGTGTAAAATAGCACATAACACATTAAAAACTGTGTGTTCTTATATATGTTATTTCAGAATAGTTTAAGTTGTTAAAATCATTTACAGTTATTATTTACGTGTTACTAAGTAAAATTGCATGTTTTGCCCTGAGTTTGGTTTCCATATACACTAATATAAAAACCTTCTTATGTAGTTAAAACAATCTCTGACTAGCTATTACATTGTAAATACACGTATGTTCTTAAGACATTTTGAAAATTAATGCTCCACCACTTTCTTTGTGACCTTAGGTAAAGTTTTTATCTCCTGTGAGCTGCAATTTCCTCAATACGTAAAAATTAAAATATTAGTATCTGTCTCATATTGATTGTGAGGATTAAGTTAGATATAGAATTTAAAACTCTCTAGAAAGCTATGGATTCTCTCCCTAAATACATACATGTAGGCACAAAAATTTGAAAGGAGTTTTCATTTATGGAATCCAAGAACCTACCCATAGGCTCCCTGTGAACTTCAGGTTGAGAAATTCTGACCAGAGCTATAGACTAAAGTTTTGCAATCTGGTCTTGTCACTAGTGTAACATTGCTATTTTGGAAGTCTTGGTCTCCATCTTATCAGGAGTCGCTACTTGCCAGCAGCAGTGCAGACTCACCATCATCTAGTCATACCTTTCCCTGTAGAATAACCTCTGCAGTGTAATTGGACCGTGGTAACTGTAATGATGTGATATAATGGTAGTCTCTGGAAAAGTGATTATTTGGACTTTATCAAATTTTGTACTGATTGCAGATACCAACCATTACTTAGTAAATCTGTGCTTATACAATTGGCATTTGTAAAAGAGGTTGATGAGAAGTTAACACAAATATTTGAATGAATTTATCTTATTTTGCAGTAGTTCCCTACCTCTCCTCGCTTCCCCAGCAATCATTTGGTTTGGATCTGATCCTAGCACCATGACTGCTAATTCTGACTTGAAGTTAGTCTGAAAAAATGTGTTGTTTCAAGGCAAAGCTTCCAGAGGAGCCTGCTGAGTTCAGAGTATTTACTTGAATTGAGAATATTAGGAAGCAGGGGGAAAAAAGAGTGTGCAAAGATTGTGGTTGTATATGGAGTTACTGATCTTTCTTTTATTTAGCCTGCTTGATGTTTTTACCAAGGAGTTGAGAGATAGAAATAGAAACTTAAACTTAATAGCTTGGAACATTTTACTATTTGACATGGCAACTTTATATCAGTTTACTTGAGCTATTTCAGATGAACCTAGAAGACAGGAGGTAGGAGGACCAACTCACTGAGATAGCAAATTGGCATAGTGCCAGAGGCATTATTCTCTTCAAATGGGATGCTAACTTCAAAGCCATACATGTAAACACAAAAATTTGAAAGGAGGGCCATTCTAAGGGCCACGTGAATTCCCCATCCCCTAATTACAGTGACTTCCTATGTTTGCGATATTACTGTTTCATTTTGCAAACCCACAGGAAGCAGGACTTTGTTTTTCCATGGTAAATTAATTCCCAGGGTATCTGTGATCAATGAACTCTTCTAAGTAACTCTGTACCAAGGATTGTTGTCCAGCTGAGATAAGTAAGTGAGTACATAAATGAGTTAGGCATATGAAGTCATAAAATAAATCCCAAATCATGAAGTAGCTAATATTTATGGGAATTAAGGAATGAGCTGGAGAGAATCTTGGGTTTTATTGCAGTGTGTGAAAGTGTTGGTAGAGATTTTAAAAGTCCTTTAGAGCAACAGGCATGTGTTCTGCAACAACCAGTTAATGAAATAAACAAGAAGAGTGATCAACAGACTCAATCTTTCCTTTTTTACAATAATGAAACCCTGATGATGTATCAGTAATGTAAGACTTTGCATTTCTCCTCTGGCCTATTTTAGTATTGGATTAAAAATATAATTATATGGTACTTTATGCTTTACAAACTTCTGTTCTTACAAAGTTTATTATTGCCTCAGGTAGATTATAGCTGTGTTAAGGAATCATAAGTTATAAGTACTAATTAGATATATTCACCCCATAATTTTTTAGTTATTGATAACATTTAGGGAAAATGCTTTTTAAATGTTGCTTTTCTTGGCTATTTCCAGCAAATAGTTGAATCTTCGCAAACTATGATGTCTTAAAGTGTTTTTGAATGTATATCGTCTAGGAAAGCTATACTTAGATCTACTTTATACTTTCATAAATGAAATATTAGTGTACTAGGTTGGGTAAGCTATTAATACTTGACGAATTTCTTTTAGACTTAGGTCTCCATTGCTAACTTTGGATTAGACAATCCTGATGTTAGAGTGGGAATGCTAATTGTGGATCGGGGAAAAAACTCTGGGTTAAAAGAATAGAGAAGAAGTTCTAGTCTATAGTTTTATAACCTTCAAAGCTATCGAGAGTCTTTGAGGTCATTTAATCGAATGATTTCCAAACCTGACTTTGCATCAGAATTAGAAGTGGTGGTCGTGGGAAATACAGACTGCTCATAATGCAGGTTCCTAGGCATACCCTAGACTTAGTAAATCAAATACTCTCGAAATGGCTTCTATAGTTTTCACAAGCTCCCCAGAGGATTTTAATGTAGCCATTTCATGGACATTTGGGAATCTCTGATTTAGCCTGAGATCTTTCTTTAATAGACGAGGAAACAGATGTAGAAGTGAAATGAAGACCCCCCCCCCAAGTCACACAGCAGATCAAAATCGAAATCCTTACTGTGTGTGTGTGCTTCCATGTGTGTATTCACTTATACCACACTATCTCTCCACCATGAAAAAGCAAGCTCTTTGCAGAAGTTTCCTAAGTTTGTCCTCTTGGGCATCTGCAAAGTACTTCAGGGCAACCTGCTTGGCAGATCAAACATCTGAGCCTTAGGGATGCACCCAGAACTAGTGCAACAGACCATTGACTTGAATTTGGTATGTTGACTTGAAGCATTTGACTAAGTAAGTGATGCTGAGTGTGGTGTTGGCTTAAAAACTGTCCATGGTATGAAATGAGAAATAGCTGTAAGTGATCAAAACTCGGTGAAGGCCTTCCAGGCTCTGACATTTATCAGGTGCCGCTACACGTTAAGACTTTTCTCTAATCAAAGGTGACTACCAGTGGATGGAAGAGGCTTGCAGAGCCTTTGGCTGTTCTCTGGGGAGGAATTTATTTTAATTGCCAGTGAGAAGGTAGAAATGATTTCAAAAAAGATCAAGAAACTGCAAATCTACTTCAGCTTGGGCTCCTGGCCAAGAGTCCATCCTCAGGAGGGAGTTGGTGTCAGCTTCTGCCTTGTGACTTGATGTATTTCAAAAAACGCAAAGGCATTACAGAAGCCTTTCCTGAATTGGCAGGCAAGAGTGGCACCAAGAATCAAGGCCTGACACATGTCATCAGCCTAGAAAAAGTGGAGTTTGGACACTAATGATGGCTCTTGTCAAGGCTCAGTGTGATAAAGCCGGGAGGACTCAGTTTGGGGGTTAGTTTGCATAGGAGAGGAGTTACAGCTTAGAGAACACCTGCCAAGAGTTTTCACTGCCCCAGCTGTGTGTCAGTAACAAATCCTTCACCCTTGACTCCTGTCACTTCTTTTTAACGGTTAATGGTAGATATGCTAGATGGGTAAGGAAGAAAGGCAATTGGTTATGTGTATCTGGCACATCTCCCTATTTGCTGCTTGCCATTCCCTGTGTAGAATTAAATTTCTGTGGCCATACTCCAGG